ATTGGAATCCATCGAAGCATTAAATGAAATGTGTGAGAGGAAATCCGAAAAGGATCAAGAAAGTCAAACGAAAAAATCTAATGGCATGATACGAGATGAAGAAATTTGTTCAAGTTTATCATCAAGTAAATTTCTGATTAATATATAAAATTTCTGATTAATATATATATATATCTTTCACTGTTGACCTAATTGAATATTCAGAAAAATGATCATAAAACTATTCACCAAATCCTTAAGTTTCAACTTATCAATACAATCAGTAGTTAGATTAATTAGCACTTTAGAGTAATTTATCAAAGTATATTGGTAGTTCATTTCATAACACTGTTCCTCTTTAAGTGAGAAATTTGGAAAATATGATCTTTTTTTCTTTAATTTGCTACAAATAAATTTGTAAATTACTGAAGTCAAATTGTAATTTACTATTTAAGTGAATGGATCATTAATCAGAAAATCAGGCATTTTTTACAAATTACTCAATGAATGAAATAGTTTTTCAAATAAAAAAAAAAGTTATTGTCACGATGAAATTTTTCGTTTAATTTGACTTAATTTACTTAAATGTGCCGTTGTGTAAATTTTCGTCTGAAAAGTTTAGGGCTGAAAGAAAAAGTGCATTTGTTTGAAATTTTAAAATAATAAACTAAACTTTTATTGCAGCAAAGAAAACTACGACAATGAAGAAAAATGAGGTGAGTACATTTTATGAAATTTATAATCAACTTAGAGGTGTAAATGAAATAAAATGAGACTGACTATTTAATGCTAATAGAATTTTTAATATTTCACCTGGATTCCTTTTCAACACACTAAAATTGAATAAGCATTAATTTTTAAAATGAAAAAATGTGGTGAAAAAAGATTTGCTAATAAACACTTGCTTAGTGGTTTATTGAAAAATAAAAAAATTAAATCAAGGCTTTCAGTTTGTGAGGAAAAAGCAAATCGATGAAGGAGAAAATGAATTGCAAATTCTAAACGCTGGTATTTTTTATAAATTTCAAAGTTATTTTAATATTTTTTAACTATTAAAAGAATGCGCCAATCTTAGGAAAGTTTTTTTCAAAATTATTATTTGTAATGGCTGCAAAGAGACAAGGAAAAAAAGAGTAACAGATGAGGAAAATGCAGCATTAACACAAAAAAAGAAAACGAAAAAATTTTTTTTTCAAGTTCTTGTTAAAATCTTCAAAGAAAAACGACAAAATTAGTTGAATTCAGGAATGATATATTACTTATATATTAGGTATATTACAAGTGTATTACTTATACTTGGTAAGGATTTTTGAAAAGTTTATGTTCGGAAAAAAAAGTACCATATGCGAATAATAGATCTAAAAATAACCTTTTGCTCAAATGCAAATTAAGTTATGATTACTTGAAAAGTGATAGAGAGAATTATAAACCATTAAAATTACTTGTTAAAAATGAACACCAGAAGAATTGTAAAGTAAAGTGCCTGAGGTTATTTAATGCAAAACCTAAAAAATTTTTTTGAATGCATATTAAATCATCGTAGTCAGTAATTTTTGCGAATCTTACCTGAATATTTAAAATTACTAGAGATATGTCAAATTTAAAAGATAATTACAATCCTAAAATAAGCGGACATAGCTTACTTAAAATTAATGCAACATCAGATAATCAGAACCAACAATAATTTGCTTATAAGATTTGAAAAAAAATTATGACGCAAACTTGAAAATGCATGAATTCATATGAAAAATGAATGTGAAGAAATTAGTCAAAACAGAAATGCACACAACGGTTTTCACTTTATATAAACAAAATGAAAATTATAAAATTACAGTTGAATAGATTAAAGGTGTCGCATTTACATAAAATGAAATTGAAAAAACTAAATTTAAATATATTTCATCGAAAATTCTTCGATCATTTGGTACATTCTCGCCAAATATTATCATGCATTGTCGTCTCGAGAAATGAGCATGATATTAATGTTAAATAAATAATCTGTTGATTAATACATCAATAGTTAAAAGCTATTTTTAATAGAAAAAGAAATTTAATTTGAATAATTAATGAACGTGATCACCAAGTTACTAAATATTACGAGTTCGGAAAAGTTTTTTTTTACCATTTTTATGCTTCCGCAAAAGTTAAAACAAAAATTTAAAGAACGTAGCAGTCAAAGAATATGAACAACATATACGCTAAAGGTTAAAGGTCAATGTTTAGATATGGTATATTATATCATAGGTTCAGAAAAGTTACTTCTACCATTTTTAAGATAACATTAGGTATGACGTATATATTGAAATCTACAAAAAATTGACTCTAATAAGAAACACATTTCTTACTATTCTAAAACAATATTAATTAAATTTAGTTTTTCAGAAAAAATTTTCAGAAAATGAAAAGTTCAATTCAATTCGTGTAATTAAGAATGTTCGTCAGTATGTGAAATTGTGGACAAAAAGCAATGGATTGGATGGACCAAAAATATTTCCCAAACGCAATCTTTTAACCGCCAAAAAGGTTTGCAAATGATTTTTGTTTTAATAATTTTTTTTTTTCATTTAGCATAAATTGAAATTTGTAAGTTTATAATATATAAGTGTAATTTTAACTTTATAATCTTTTTATTTATTCCATACATCAATTCTTATCTTTAAGCTATTTTGCGAAACATTAAAACATAATTTAGGCTTTTTATGCTACTGGAAATTTTTACTTCTTTCATCACTTTCATGACTGATAAAAAGTGCAATAATTTATTAGCATAAATTAACTCCCAATGTTTATTATCAACCATTGATTGGAAACAATATATAGTAAAATCATAATATCATAATTATTGAAATAATTATTAGTTCGATTCGTGAATATTTCCCACATTATCCAATGCAATCAAACATACAGTATGTAATATTCTCACTTCTCTATCACATTTTAGTTGATCAACAATAAAAAAAAAAATCACAATTAAAAAATAATGAATATGTTTAAATTATTCAGATAAATAAAATGAAAGAGAATGAAAAAAACAAACATTGAAAATCAGCACTCAATGTTGGAACAGCAAGATGAAATTGTTATGGATTATGTATCGGTTTCACAAAGAAGACAATATTTTGAAGCTAACAAAAAATTCAAGCATAACAACTTCAAAAAGATAGCATCAATTAATCATGCAAAAAGAAGTTAGTTTCTCAAAAATTCAGAAATTAATTTTAAAAAAGAATACTTATGGATACATTTTTTTTTTTTCAAAAGCAAAAAGTATGAAATATGTATTACTCCGGTTAATTTTATTGATTTCCTACTTCATTTGCATTTTTTTGCAGTTGCAATAGATGATGAACAAGTGCTAAAAGTACAGAAAACAAGTGATATTAAAATTAATATATCAGAAATGTATAATGAAGATGATACATTCATGTCGGAAATAAAAGAGGTAAAAACAACTCATTAATTATCTGTTGAATATCATTTTAGAAGCAATAATAGAAATAATAGTGTAATATAAAATATTTAAATTAATCTAGAATTGTTTCTTTTTTTAAATTTTCAGTTATATTTCCAATAAGATAGATGATGGTGCTTAAGTGCTGTCAAATTGAATGATAATTTTAGAAATGTTGGAATGAATTATGAAATTTATTTCAGTTAGGTTCAATTAAACAGCTAAAATTACTTTTCGAAAAGCGATAAGAATTTGTCAAGCATTAAAAAAGATATGGATTTCAATGGGATATCATCATTATCAACTCAACGAATTACTTTTTACAGATTCCGCTCTACTAACCACCTTCTCTTTTTAGCAATAATTTGATTTCATAAACTTCAATAGTTGTCGACTCAATTTTTTCACTTTGTTATGAAATTTGAAAAAAAAAACTTTTTTTTTTGTTGTTATTGAATTAATCACATTTTATTTTAATGTTGAAGTGATACAATTTGATGTGATAGATATAGCCAATTCTCTAGTAATGACACATTTTTAAGATATCAGAAAATATCATCTCCTTGTTCCATAAAGATAAATCGATGGTAGTGATTAGAGGATGAATGAATGTAATACTGGAAAAATTGAACTAAAAATATAGTTTGAAATAAACTATTTATATAATTAAATTTATCCTAAAAAAAAAACTGTCAGATATAAAAAGCAAATATACTTAAACATTATTTGATATTGCAAATATCCAATCAATTGTAGTAGTATTTAGTCAAATCGTACATACGAATATGTTAATTTCTAGTTCATTCCTAAGAAGTAATGACTTAAAATAAGAAAAAAAAAACATGTTACATTGGTTAGTAAAAAATAAAACACAGAATTAAAAAAAAAAAAACTCAATTAATGTGGCTCTTATGATAATATAACAAAAACCTTTTGTAATCGTACAAAAGAAAATGTAATTAAAAATGAATCAGCAACTTCATTCTTTATCCTTATCAATCTTTTGAAACTGTTCCAAAATTTTTTTGACAACAAGATTGGCTAAATGATGTAAAAAAATCAACTGATAAATCATTTCTATAATGGGCTGACCAAAAATTGTAAACACTAATACCATGGTATAATGAACGAGATTTAAATTTGAAATATATGAATCGCATTGCCTTACAGGATTCTCGGTTATTATCAGTTCAAATTTCATCCTGAATATCATGACTGTTTACATTCTGAAAAATTATATTTACGTTTAATAAAATAAAATATGTTACCTTAAAAATAAAGCAGTACAATTACAATGGAAGAAAATTAATTCATCAATGAATTCAAATTGCATGCGCTCTTGTCCCTTAGAAAATGTACCTTAACAATTAATTTTGTATGATCTATATTTTGCAAAACAATCGAAAAGCATTCATTTTTTCCATTTTAAAAGCACTTTTAATTCAACTTAGAGAAGAAAAAAAAAGCAAGAAAAAAGAAATAGAATAGGAATAATTTATATATCGAGAATACATATTTGATTATTACTGATATTATCCTACTTTCAACTTGAAAACATTTACATTAAAGGTTAAATAATCATTAAGCTAAAATCTTTAATCTCGAAAGAAATTCTTTAGTGGAAACCACAAGATTCTTTCGAAAATTTATAAAAACTTAACAACTAACCTACGTGTCCTCTTTGGAGTGAATGTGCAATCAACATTCGAGCTTGGTTCTTGAATAAAATCCACATCAGCGCTTTCTTTCGATTGTACCAATATCCTGCGACGAGCATTGATAAACCTGTAATAATTATACTTTCACATTTTCATTCATTAAATAATATGTAAAATTGTCAGGAAAAATTATTAACGTCGAAAAAATGATTTATATACTCTTAAGTTATTTGAATTAGATTGTGCATTTTATGAAACGAACATTCTGCTTCGAAATTTACCAGTTGTTGATTTGAACCATTTGTAAGCCGGTTTCTCGTGATAGCATCGCTTTTTCTTTTTCACTAGGATAAGGATGCTAGAAAATGAGCCAATACATCCAATGCTTTCGTTCAAGATTACAAATTTGCATTGGAATTATCTGATGAATATCAATTAGTCACATCATACATTATTGGTTTATTAGGAAAAAAGCAACAAAATGGTTCACTAATTATTTTACTTTTTTTTTTTTTTCACTTTATATGATTTCATTTAAAGAAAAGAATTCTTACGGACGAATGCAAAAAGAGCCAAGTTTTGAGCAATTCAACAGCTTTAGTTGGTAATTGAGCTTTCCGTTTTGGATCTGAGTTATCGTCTTCAACTGATTCTTGCGCATCATTCTTCTCAAAAAAAAAAAAAGAAAATGCAAGAAAAAATAAGGCAAATTTAGAACTGTTAAAAATTTTAAGTAATTTCAATCAATCCAACTGAAAATGCAAAAAAATTTGAATTAAACCACTGCAATTTGAATGCCAGAAGATGAGCAACATTCTGAAATTTTTTGATGTGATAACGTAGTATGATGCATTGATGATGAATGTGAAGTTGTCGCATTCCAAAGTGGTATAGAAAGCTGCAAAAAAAAAAACGAACAATTCAGATTTTTTCTAATTTTAATGATGATAAAAAAAAGAAAAATTTTAATGCATAAAAATTTTCAAAAATACCTACCATTCCTTTTGATGTAGACATCATTGCGATCGTTTGTTGTCCGGTACGATTTTTCGACTAAAATGATGATAAATTAATAAACTTAAACAAATACATGTAAATTTTTGTTATGAAACATCTAAAACTAAGTTTAATAATTTGATCATTTTCCATTAACAAAACTATTGATACTATTTTGTAAATTTTTGCAAATTAAATTTAATACTCTTCTTGAAAAAAAAAAATAGCTATTTTCAAATTTATATTACTATTACCTGTTCTGATAGTTCTGGAGATGAATTGCATAAGTCATCATCGCTATCACCATTATATCCAATCATGGATTCCTGAGTTATTTTCTTCCTCAGCGTTTCTGAAATAGATATGATTGTGATAATAAATGACACAAATACATTTATCATCAAAACACATTTTGAAATTAAGCGCTTGATAAGTTTGAAGTAAAAGAACATTAATGTAAAGCTATTAGAATTTCTTGAAATCATCCACAAAATTTTGCAACGATTTTAACTACAGTACCAAGAATTAAATAAAATTAATTCTTAGAACCGTAGTTAATTCCAGTATTAACGATAACCAATAATTTAATTTATTTATTGTATCATATTAGCAGTTTAATGCTTTGATTGTCAAATAATTTATTACTGTCATTCTTAAACAAATATTATCTTAATATGGTTATATTCAAATAATTGTTAACTTACGTAAATATTTTATTTTAAAATCATCGCATAGTTCAGCAACTTTTTCTAATTCTAATAAGTGTAAACGAAGCATAATTATAGAATTAATTAAAAATACATCAAGTTCACTATTTCCCAGTGATCCATCACCATTCGACGTCATTTCCGCCAGTTGCTGTAAAATAGATTAAATTTAAAACATATGACATAATTTCACATTCAACTAAAATGATTACTTTAGTTTTTTTTTTCCAATTCTTATTGAAAAAAAAAAAGAATGACAATCAAGAAAACGATTGGGATAAATGGAAACAACTTATTAAGATTATTATAAATTAATTCAATATAGATCAATCTAGTATATAATCCTATTATTACAATGGAAGATGTTGAATTTTTAACTTATTACTGCAAGTATTTGTAGTAAAGTTAATTTGAATTTCGATAATTTTTAACAAAAAAATTAAATTACCTGGAAAACGTCATCCATCGTGAATGATGCTTCTGCAAGATTCTGTGTTGCTGCTTCACATTTTTTTGACATTAGCTAAAGTAATCGAAAGAATATGATCAAAGCTCATTAATATTTTATTTTGTTTTTCATTACTTATTATCATTATCATTATTGTTGTTCAAAATTTTCAAATAATTTGAAATCAAAAAAAAAAAAAGCCAACTTCAACAATGGGAAATAATTTGTGATTTTTGATCGCCGATGAGCACGCTTCCATGAATTCATTGGTTTCGTGAAATGTTTCTTCTGATGAGTTGCTTGACCTGTAAATAAAAGAATGCACAAAAAAATATGAATTATGTACAGATAACACATAATGCTACAAAACAGGTCATCGATTGATCGTTTTTTTTTTTGGTTTCCATATTTAAGAGCATCAGAAAAGAATTTGTTCTAACAACACTAAAAAAAAGGTATATAATTATTCTTTGGGTTTAAAGATAAATCAATGATCTATTCGTAATAATCACATTATTAGAAGATTATCGGGGAATTTTCGGGAAATCTTTGATCACATTGATAAATATTCTAAATCAGTATGTCACAATTATTATATATCAAAATTAAAGGGATTATAAATTTATGTCATAATTATTTTAAAGAACATACAAAA